GAATGCCGAGAACGATGTTGAAACGCTACAACAATAAAGCCCTTGAAGGAGGAAGTATACAGCTGAGGGAAAAAATGCAGGGAGTTTAATACTGAAACAAACAACTGTCCCGTCAGGCTGTGCCCACTGCTGGTACCACCAGAAGTGCAGAGACTGCCGCAGCAGAGCAGTTTCTATGGAAGGAGAAATCTCCGAGATGGAAGGTAGCAAGTTACGGACTTGATTTTCCCTTCTCTGGAGGCCACTTTGCACTGCTCTGGTTGTGTAAAGGAGTATTAGGGTGGTTATAAATTGTACTTTACGGTGCCTGTGTATCGCAAAACTACTCGTAAGTGGCCTTAGTTTAAATAAGAATCAGGTTCAAAGGCTTTAATTCTCCTTTTGATGAACACCAATTCAGTTCCAGATGAATCCTGCAGATGAAACTGGGGAAGAATACAGGTTCCTAAAATAAGCACATGAGTGGCCAGAATTTTCGATAATTTAGGATGTCTTAATTTTTGGATGCAGTGCTGGGCACACTTCATTTTCAGGGAATGGACTGTCGAGGACCTCCTGACAAAGTGGCTCTCATTAACAGATCTCCAGTTGAGCATCCCAAAATGGAATTGGCCTAAAACCATCATCACTTCTGAAAATTTTGGCAGCTGGCATTCCTCTCAAGGGGTCGTAGGCCACTTACGTGACTGGGTTATTACTTAGATTTTATAGGTGGTGTTATCTGAATTGTTTTAGAGAATCTCATTGATTTTTATGGGACTAACTCAGAGTGCCTTAAGTTAAAACATTCTGCTAAGACTTGAGTACAACTGGTCTTAATTAGGTTTTTCCCACTACCACTGTTTTCCCCTGCCAAAAGCAGAGCAAACTTCTTAAAAATGGTTTTCTCTCCCTTCGAAACGACGACATGTGCCGTAACTAGCGCTATGAAAAGAGGCAATCATCGCGTCAAGCCCCACTGTACCAAAACTGCGTACAGTGTATTTGTGCAAATAACGCAGCTTGGCAGACATTTCACTATTGTGATCAATCTCAATAACTACGTCTGCAAAATCAGGCGAGTTCCCGTGAAGCAGCAGGCAGGCTGAGCTCAGAAAGATGGCGTGTGCGGGGGCTTGCTTTGGTGCTCATTTGCTCGCTACCCAGAGGAGCGTGGCGAGTGTAAGGAGTAGGCAGGAGGGCATAGAGCGAAATCGCTAGCACAGAGAGACCCTGAGACTTCAGAACTGAGACTGAGTCGTTAAATGCCCACAAGGAAAAGGAACGGGCATCGTGCAGAGAGACGTTAATACACGGAGAACGACGGTAACTGCAAAAAAATGCCAGGGAACAAGGATGATGGAGGAGGAGCGGGAGCCAAAGCAAGGCTAAAATTCAGGTATTGTCCTCAGGCCAATTTCTTTTGCTTGTTGTAAATACATAAATAGGGGGGAAAAAAATCTTATTTATGGCTTTTAACCATATTTTTGTTTTAACTCACAGCATGGTGTCTCCCTTGTTTGAAATCATCCTGCCACAGTCACAAATGTGAGCTCCTATGATCTGTGTTAGGATGGATTTTGAAAGAGAGTTATGAAATGATTTGGAATTTTTATTTTTTCTTTCATTTAATGCATAGCAACAATACTTGACTTTAATTATTGCAGCTGGCATTCAAAAGCCTATGGCAACACCACAGATGAGACAGATATCAAGTGGCACAGCAAGCTGTCCTCTCTTTCTGACCAACTTCGGCATTTGTGCTGGGACGCTGACATTTGTGGCTTTCATTCACCAGGACAACCCACCTTCTCCCTCCCTGGAGCCCCTCCAGGGCTCCTGCCCTGGAGCAGAGGTGCGTCTTCACCTTTCACAAAAAAATTGTAGGGGTTTTTTCCCCCTTTTCAAAACTCAGTTTCAAATCGCTCTGTGCAGCTCAGCACGGGTTTCTCGAGCTAACCCTCCTGCGAGAGAGAGAAATGTGGAACCGGCTACACACGCATGCACATGTGTGCACACAAAACACAGGCTAAGTTGCGTGGCGCTGGAGGAGGCGGCGTATCAGCCTCTGGCTCAAAGCCACAAGGGTACAATGGCAAAGCTAAAAACAATAGGACGTGTGGTTTGTTAAACATCTTACTTGATTTTGCTACAAGCTGTCAGTTCCAACGTGCGGGGAAAGGAACACAGTATCACAGCTTCCTAAGCACATCAATGGCACAGCCTGATACGGACCAAATGCACATTTTAGCTTTATCATTTTTTCTTCACAGTCAATTTAGGAGTATTAAAGCATATGCACGAATTTCACCCAAGAAGAGATAAAGGGGGAGGGCTTAGGAATAGTAGTGTAGGTGATTTAAGAGAAACAGCATATCAGACTAATCAGAAGATCAGCAAAGCATCATTGAAGTATGAGAGGAAGGAACTTTGATGACGCTAAATATGGCAAATGCTCAGTTTGCTAAATCCCTTTGGATCCAATTTCAACATTACAGTACTTGTCATTTTTGCTTTGCAGCTTGTGGGGGAGGGGCCAGGCATTTATTGAGAAAAGTTACATTGGCTACATCAGAAACTGCATCGTACACTTTAATGATCTCATAACTGCTGGATCTTCAGTGCAAAACCAAGATTTAAACCTCTAGGAAATTCTCATTATCCTAGATAACACAAGAAAGACTGTGTGAAATATCTGCAAATCATCGCCATTTATAATATTCCTTTCCCTCTACAATGGGGGAAAAAAAACAAGGGGCTCTTTTCCTACCAGCTACTAGACACCTTGCTGAGATGAGGAAACTGCGATCACTAGCAGTGCTAAACATACGAGATTTGTATTTTCTTATCTACCTGAAACCACCAATAACCTCCCCACATTTCTTCACTGAAGTAATCTATTTACATTAACATTGCAACTACCGTTTTGAAATGCAGCAGTAAGTGCCCGAAATCATCAAGGATCCAAGAACTTTTGAGAGCAAAGAACATTTCAACCTACGTTCTGCAAACAAAAAAAGTTGCATTAAAAGGAAAAAAAGCT